GTATTCCATGCTGTATGCATGTTCCAGTAGTATGCAGTTTGTTTGAATTGGATACTTCGACTTTTGACTATTCCTTCCCAGTCTATGACCATAAAAGTTAGAATTTTTGGAAGATTCATTAAAATGATTGATATTTCACTTATTAGACTAATTATTAGTCCCATACATACATTGGAATGATTATTCACGATTTTATATGGAACTTTTTCTTAAAAGAAAACTTTCAAACGTTGATCAGGCCTGAGAAAATGGCGCTTTACTAAGTGAGATATCGTCTTTTCGCAAAAGCAATACAGAAAAGCAAAGATATTGGAAAGAAAGCTACTAGAAATTTCTGCAATATTAACTTCACTCTCAAGCATATCTCTCACGAGAACAAGGGACAATTCTTGTGCAGAAGATAACAGTTGGCATCTTAAAAACAATACACAGGCCAATTCCTGATTTCGTATAAGTTTTGTAATCGCTCAAGAAAAGCACATGTTACGAAAATTTTGTATTTAAATTGAACAAATAGTATTTCTTCACAGTGTTAGTTTCGTTTCTATTCAGAAGTGAAATGGGTTGGCTCCGGGCAATTGAGATAGTTCAATAATCAAAAGTATTTTAGTTGTTTTCATTTCATTCCGTTTTCTTGTATTCACGATATTTGATTATTCCTGCTCTCGCATGCTTTGATCTTTATTCTGGTGGTAGACAGCAACAAAAGTGCTGTGAAGATGAAGCTACTCATCAATCACGTAAACAAAAAGAATGATTGTAACTGTGGTGCAAACGTTATCACAACAAACCTCAACTGTTCTTGTTGCGAACTCAACTCCGATAGTGGTTTTTGACTCCAAGTTGAATGAATTTCTAGCGAACCGTGAAAGCAGGTTTGATTTGCCAACTCCGGAATCGCCAATAAGAACAACTGAAAATCAAAAGTGCAGAAGAGGCATGAATATAAAAATAATAATCTTTCTCACCTTTGAATAGATAATCATAGTTGTCCTCTTCGATAGACATAGATCAACCTAGAAAACGTTGATTTTCTTCACACCAAGCAATGTCTTTTCAAGACAACGACGATCAATATTTACACAAAAGAGTGAGGGAGCAAGAAGAGCAAACAATGTTTTTTGCAAGCGCGTATGATCCCTTACGAAAGGACAAAAGTGCACCGAGATTTCCAAAGAAGATTTCCATCAAAGTACAACACCACACACAGGTGAACGGTTGTCACTAAGCAAATACAGCAAAGCACGGCGATTTACTTCTGTCCGAGCTGTGGAGCCAGAATTTTTTT